CGGCGTTCCCTTTTAAGTATTTCATGGTCTGCCTTGCCTGAATCCTTGGTTCGTCTTTCTGAGACATTACATTAACACCTGCAGCACCACATAAAATAATGTTTTACTCAAAGGAACTTCACATGGTCTTAGCCAAACGTTAAGTTCTTACTATACATGTTTAAGCTCACTCTTAATGGTTAATCTCTGTCCATTGATTGCAGTACAAGAGTTCAGACTGATCTGAATTTGTTCAAAGCACTGCAAGTCATTTATGATTATCACTGCCTTTTCAACAATAAACATGCGTCCTCCCACAAAGCAAGCTGTCTATGTTACATTTCTGTCCCTCTTTACATGTGGCCACCGCTTTAGTTGTCTCTCTCTGTCACCTTTGGAAACATCCTTCTTGAAACGCAGGTCTTTTGTTGCAGGTAAGATAATGCCTTTGCTGCTTTCCAAACAGCCTCCTTGGATTCCCAGGAAGCCAAGTGCAACATGATGATTTGTGCCCCGGTCCCCTCCACAGTGGCCGTGCATCTCCCCATTTGTGTATGAAAAATTTGACCTTAATACTTATATAATTAATCATAAATTATATTTGTTTATCTTGGAATATAATATCAACTTTCATTGAGAAGGGGGAGAGAAAAAGTGCGTAAGGATTTAGAGTGTAACCAGTTATGAATTGAGGATAAAAATGATTGGGATTTACTACAATAAAAAAAAGAGAAATGTTCAGTTGTTTTTTCCTCATCTTGCTCACATAGACGACATTTTTCTACAGTGAATCTAAATTTGGAGCATATGAATAGGTTGGAAGGATAAATTTAAGTTTTTGAAATGAATCTCTTTATGTTTTGATGTAATAGCAAAGATAAGATATTTATTTCTCAATGTATGGATATCATTTCTGGTGTATTCTTTTAAAAGGGAAAGTCTTTTGATTGTTTAATTAATTATAGAAAGCTTGCTCCCTGGTTTAATGCAGAGCTGTGCATTCTGAAGCAAAATTCTAGGAAAGTGGAGAAAAATGGTGCTCCACAGGCCTACGGGAATCCTACCTAGTCTGGAAAAATTGTTTACTCATGATTTAGAAATATGCAGAGTTACGCATTTCCTGTCAGTGGTTATGAAATTACAAAAATACTCCACAAAACTGCCCCATCGATCAGAAAACAAAAGCAGAGCACATCAGTGGTTTAGTCCCCACCCTTCTCTTTTGCGGCTAAAAAGTTTTTCTCTGAGATGTTAATGTTATTGTTATTGATTTTATGATAGTAAATCTAATTAGCCACAGGAAGAACACTGAGTTAATAATTTATCAGTTATTTATCAAATGAGGAGCAAAACATGCCTGCTTCATAAGGCAGAGAATTTGAATAAAATATAGAATATTATTTCTTTAAATAGCAGCAAAAATAATGTCAGTATGATAATGTATGCTGTCATTGTGTTGCTGACATATTATTAAGTATGTCAACATAGTACATTTTTAAAAGGTAGTATGATTTCTTCTTCTTCTTCTTTTCTATTATGGCGGATCACAAGCAACTTTAAGGTGCATACCGCCACCTACTGTACATGAGTGTGTAGTAGCGTTACTTCACATCTATTAGATTCTATTTTTTTATTTTGTATTCTTAAGATACATAAACAATGCTTTCCTTAGTTTATGAATATCTGTTATGTTTCCTTCATTTCCTAATATTCCTTTAAGATTCCATTCATGCCCTATACTTCTAACTATTCTCTTTAATTCTTCCCTTTCGTGTTCATATAACTTACAGTTCATCAGT